GATAGCCATGGCCGGTTAGCTCACTTGGGAGAGCGTGGTACTGACAACACCAAGTCAAGGGTTAAGATTCCCTTAGTGGTCATCTTAAAAAAAAAAAAAAAAAGAAAGAAAGAAAGAAAGAAACAGCACAAGACCCTCACCAGAAGCTGACCAGAGGCAGCCAATTAGTCCTGCACTTTCCAGCCTTCAGAGCTGTAAGAAATAAACCTCTTTGTAAAGTACTCACACTGAGGTATTCAGTTATAGCAAGAGAAAATGTCGTAATAGATTTTAACATTACTTTTTATTTCCTACATGATTTAAAAGACAGACACATAAAATTAACTATAAATCTATGGTATTGGCACACAATGCATAAAGATGAGGACAGATCCAGTAATAGATTTTAACATTACTTTTTATTTCCTACATGATTTAAAAGACAGACGCATAAAATTAACTATAAATCTATGGTATTGGCACACAATGCATAAAGATGAGGACAGATCCAGACAAATGAGCACTTGATTACATCCAGTGGTGTTTGCCCCCCACACTGGATGAGCGAGGCTAGAGTGTCTGGAGCATTCCCTCTACCTGGAGCAGGCACACCTAAGTGCGTACCTTTCTACTTATCCTCTTGGCCTACCCACCTACCCCACTGATGGCAAGGAGATGGGTTTGCCAAGAACAAGAATTCCAAGGAAAGCAAAACTAAGTTTCTCTTTGAGGTCTAGAGCAGAGCCGGTCTAATTGGCCCTACCCAGATATTCTCAGGGTGTAGCTGTTCCCACGCTAGAGAAACTACAAAGAGACTTCCAGAAAAATGGGATGCCTGAGATACCATTTGTCTAGAGCCATTCATTCTTCATTCTTGCCCTTGTCTCTCTCTTTCAAAAAGGAAGGGAACGTGTGGGTTTCCTCACCACAATCAAGGTAACATACACAGACATCACCTTCAATAGTTTCTTTGTGTCCCTTTGTTTTTTTGTTGTTGTTGTTTGTTTCTTTGTGGACTCTTGACTCTGAGTTTTTGTCTCCCTCTTTGGCACTCTTAATGCGATTCCTGTTGCTATCACCACATTGACCTCTTTCTCACTAGCTCTAGAAACAAAACAAACACCACTAAGTCATTTATTTATTGATTAAACAAAAAATTGTTGAGCACTTAATATTTGCCAAGTACCTGACTAGAAGCTGTGGTTCCAAAGGACTGAGTGAAATGCTTGTAACAGTGTCTGACATAAAGCAAGCACTAAATACGTTAGCTGTTAGTGTTTCAGACTCACTCCCACAGTGATTAAAATAAGGCTTTCCATAAACATGAGAATAGTATCTCCAATAGATACTAATAAAATGGCAGAATGGTAAAATAAATGTGTCCCCCACGTCAGTAAAAGGAGAGCTATTTTGCCTTAGTTGCTCAATATTCCATCAATGGGTCCTGCTTCACGCTGCAGGTACTGACCTCTCTTCTTTGAACAGACTGACCCCATGTTGCTTTAGGAAAGATTCATTGAAACAAAGGAATAAAAGCACAAGATATAGTGTTTTTAAAAACATTTTTTAATGAAGAAATAATTCCATTCCAAAATATAGACACACAATTAAATAGTTTAATCACTTCAAAATATAACATGTCCCCAGGAGGTTCCAACATACATACACACACAAAACAATACTTAACAGCAATACAAAAAAACCCATACAATAGTAGTTTTGTTACAATACCAATGAATATTGTGAAATCTTTAGTTTCTCTGAATTGGTTACTTCAAATGGTCAAATTGCAGTAGTCATAATTAAAAATATCTTACAGTTAATTAGCCTTCAGATGTAACGCTTCTAATTTTTTTTTTTCCTCTTTTTGGTTCAAAAGTAAAAATGCCCTTTCTTCTGAGGACACTGGAGTTCTAGTTTGTGGCTCCTTGTATGGAATTGAACCAAGGTGAATGCAGCAACCAAAAGCTGCCATATTTACAAGATCTATCTACAATTAACAGCCAAGAACTAATAACGGTGGACAAAGATGATCAAAATAAAAGCAGACACCAGTGCTAAATTATGATGCAACAGTTTGGCTCATGCATAGAAGAAAATACATAGTATATCACAACAAAGGCCACATTCAATGCAATTCAGTTCACATTACTACTTACAAATGAACCTTCCCTGCCTTATAGTAGATCATTCAAGAATCCATTTTTTCACAATCTCCAGCACATCCCCCCTCTGACCAACCAAACTTACCCCAACTTCCGTCCTGACCAACCACAACTGATTCCTGAATCCCATACAGTAGATTTCACCCTCCTTCCCTCCTCCATTAACATGGTGCTGTGGGGGAGGGCTGGCTGTGTTAGACCAGTGCTCATTAATAGGCCATCAGCTCTGATGAAGATGGATGTGCAAGTCATTGTGGAATAAGAAAGAAATAATTCCTGCAAAATATAGTTGTATCTAACGGACAGGACAGGTGAAACCTGCTGGGTTTGCACTTAGAACAGGCCCCAAAAGTAAATTTGGAGAGCCAAGGAAAGAAACCCACCAAAAAACACAAAAACCCAAAACAACACACGCCATTTTTTCTCGGTTACAGGACAGGGGTGCTTGAGTCTGGTCTCAGTGCTGACGTGGAGCTAAGAAAAAGAAAAGGTGGCTGGTTAGTCAGAAATTGGTCATTGGCAGCAGTTTCCAGAGTCCTTGCAATGGCTTTGTATGATGGTATCAACAACCAAGTGATGGAGTTGGTTGGCAATGAAAGCTATGATGGGGGAAGGTTTTCAGCAGAATGGTTCAAACCTTAGACAAATGTTTTGATGTAGAAACACAAAGAGACGACATATGTCAGCTCGGTCCAGCCAGTGGCTGAGTGCCACTTGCAGGGTTTGAGTTCTGAGTTCAAGAACTACCTTGCTGTGATTTTGAGCTGACAGCAGTGTAGGTAGCTGGGATGTAGTGGTTTTCAGTACTATGAGGCACCAGATGCCACCTGCTCCGTCTAGAGAGGTATGATTTCACAGAGGATGGGCAGTGGGAAAGAGAGGAGCGTTAAGACACACCAACAAAACCCGCAATAAAATCCACCTGTGCAAAGAAATCTGAGAACTGTGCAGTTGTGCTACTTTGGTGTCAGCCTGTGCTCAGGGACATTTGTCAGGCAGGTTCTCTGGAGGGAAGTATGATTAAGTACATCAAGGGACAGGATGGGCTCCTTACTAATGCCAATAAGCACTTTAATATCTCCAAGGCAAGTGATTTTTTTCCCAAAGTGCAGCCAAGGAGACGATTTTGGCCAAATGCAGGGACATAAACATGTTATAGCCCTCTGCAGAGGGGACCTGAAGATGTCAGGACCTCTGTTCTAGGTCTGTACCCACGAACTACAGACGAGGGACATGAGATGGCAGAAGGATTTTGCCAGTCCTGGAAGCAAAATTCGCTGAAGCTTTGAGGTTGACTCAGAATGTTTCTTGCTTATTTTGAATAAGGCCTTTCAGAGATTTTATTTTACAACTTTATTCTAAAGCAGTAGTTCTCAACCTTTAGTATGCATCAGAATCACCTTGAAGGCTGATTAAAATACAGATTTCTGGGCCCGACCCCCAGAGTTTATGATTCAGTAGGCCTGGGTTGGGGCCTAAGAATCTGCATTTCTAAGACATTCCCAGGTGATGCTGCTGCAGCTGATTTGGGGAACACACTTTGAGAACCACAGTTCCAAAATGATGTTCTCTTCTTTCTTTTAAAGGAGAAACAGGAATTCCAGAGAAGCTGCTAATTTAAGTACAAGGTATCCAATATGTTGCAGGTTTTTTCTTTTTTTTCATCACATCTCGAAACTAGTAGATTACTTTTTCTTTTCCCCCAGAATCTCTAAGGGAGCTCTTTAGGTATCGCTAAAGAGGACCATCAACCGTCTTTTATCCTCTTGTCTTTGATAGTTCTTTTGCACTTCAGATTTTCACTGAGTGCAAAATCCCAAGTCAACTTAGAAGAGCCTGTCTCCTTTCACGTGACCACAGAAGGCTGCATGCAGAACACCAGGTGGCCAGCTAAGGCAATAAACATTCAGAAATAAAAGGAGAGCGAATGTTTGCAAGCGCACTTTAAGCTCGTACATTTAAAGCTGAAGGCCTCCGAACAACCCGATAGGGGAACTTGTGAATGAGCGGTGCTGTTAAAGACATGCTTCCTAAAGCTAAAACGAGAGGAACAAGACCATGGAAGAGCATAGATAACTTTAGTCCGTTTGGGGTTCTTATGGCACCTGTGGTTTATAAACAGCGTTAGTAACGAGTATTTCAAAACATAGTTCACAGTTTTTAAGAAGATCTGTGCTGATTTTAAAAACTAGATTCTATATAATTTGAATGTTGCCTTTTTTTGAATATGATATCTATTTGGAAAAAATATTTACACTAAATTCTATGGCTGATTTGTTAGAGTATCTTGAAAGAAAACAACCCCAAGTTGGAAAGAAGCCCCAAAGAATGGGTTATTCCTGGTGTGTTTGGTTCAAGTCACTGCTCATAGAGATTTGGAGTCAACTGCAGACTGTGCAGGCCAAGGACCCTTCTTAACTTGCAGGCTCTAAGTTTGCACACTCAGGAATCAGATCCTTTAGGGTTAATGAATAATTGCAAGTGGTTGTTTTTTTCCAAATGCTGTGGAAAAAAAATGTACAGTGTATAATAAATTGTTTTGCTAAAATCTCAAAGAATCCAGAAATCAAACTTCTATCTATAAACAGTATTAATATCGTCATTGTAAACTGAACAGGTTCAATATCATGTGCAAAGGTTTAAAATGCTTGTTAATACCGCCATTGTGTGTAACAGCAGCATAGGTTTTCAGCCTGTGGTTTTTTTTTTTAAACCAGAGATGAGCCATGTTACATAAGATGTAGCTGATAAGTTAGTTTTGAACAGAAGTCTTTTTTTTTTTCCCCCATCTCAAAACACACACCTACCACTACAAATCTTAGAACAAAAAGTTAGCTGCACTACAGGCATCAGAACACGTCTTTGGGGTGGGATTTGTCAGGAGCTGCTGGGTGTGGCGGCTCCTCTCTTCGGTGAGGCTGCTGCCAGGCTGCTGTCTTCCTCCTCTGTGTGGGTGCGGGGCTCTCCATCATCACCAGTTTTCATGTTACTTTCATCATCTGTCTGACTATAGCTTGCCTGGGAATAAGGAATGTGTAATTTTTTTTTTTAAGATGAAAACTGTTCCTAAATTAGGGTTATGAAGCTTAGGATCCCCCCTTTCCCAGACAGACAGACAGACAGACAAACAGACAGACAGACAGACACACACACACACACACACACACACACACACACACACACACACTCCACTCCCTTCCTATG